AAAATGTTAAATGCAACATTGCAAAACATACTTCCCAAAAGGGAAATAATCGAAATTTAACATATTTGATATATGAAACGAAATTTAAATAAACAAAAAACAAAGAAGTTAAATAATCAATAGATAAGAATTTTTTAAAATATTTGTTTTCAATAAATAAAATTTACATTTTTTTATATAAAAATATATAATGAGTTTATATATCAAATATATGTTTGGTATCATTATACAATATCATATATTATTTAAGAAGGAATATTCATTTCAGTTGGATATCAATTTAAATGTAAGCAAGCAAAAGCTCTCGTAGAACTCTCTAATATGCATAAATTACTTAACTTGACTACATTGGAAGCGCGATCTTAGTCCCAAATTAAATTGGTAAAATTAAGCCCACAGCAATTACGAGATTTATAAATAGTCTAGAATTATTTTAATGCAGCCTTTAGGCGCACAATAGATCTTTTAGGTTGAAGTGCTCTCATAGTCTATTATTTAATAGTAATGTATAAATTAACTCACACCAATGAAAACGACCAAATATTAATTTGATTAACATAAGTACTTTTAGCTGCATAGGAAACAAGATGTTATTTGCTAACAATTGAAATGTAAATAAACAAAAGCTCTCCCAGCATTTTCACACAACTTTGTGGCATATAAAAGCTCTTTCACGTGCATAAATCAACTTATGCCAATGGAAACGGTCAAATCTTAATTTGATTAACATAAATTGATATAGTTACAGTGTGAACATGGTGTTAGTTTTATTTTAATTTAATTGTCACTGAGCTAGAGATTAAATCTGTTAAAGTAATTTCTAGAAATTTTGTGAATGAATTAAATTTCTTTGTCGGTATTTTCGCGTTTTTTGTAAAATTGTGTCTTTAAGCTCACCAAAGAAAAATTACACAGAAATTAATATGAACATGTGTTCATATAGTAATTTTATTTATTTTTATAAAAATAAATATTTTTGCATTTTTTCTGGCAGTAGCATTATTCCAAGCATAACATAAGTATTGCCATCAAAAATATTGTATAGACATTAATAAAATGTAATTGAAAGCTGACAGAAAGCTGATGTACAACTAGACGCACCCATATTCTCCTGATCTGGTAATATTTTAGATGAGACTAACAACTTTTTAAATTTTCTCTTTCGTTTATTTTAATATTAATTTTTGTCATTAATTTTAGACGGAGACACTTGCACAATAGAGTCTATACCCGGTATTTGTAAGAGATCATCTGAATGCTCTCAGCTTAGCGAATATATCAAACGTGGAGATTTAGAATTAGAAGACATTGAGTGCGACATTGCGACAGCTGAAAACCTTATCTGCTGCCCAACAACATCATATTCGAAAGTATTGCTTTTAAAAAGGTTATAATAAATAATTTTTAATTTTTATATAGTTCAGATAAATAATAATTAATAGATTATTATAAAAGTTCTTTAGTTTTGATACTTAAAATTTTTAATTAAAAAATACATTTAATTTTGTTCTTTCAGACTTCAACCTTGCCTAATCTGGTCAGTAACAAAAAAACCAATCAAAGAACGACCTGCTGAGAAAGGTATTCGCAAATATTTTAATTTCTAGTTGTGAGACTAGAACATTTTGATATTATGTATATGTGTATACTATACATATGTAGATTAAATAATATACATACACGTATGATATATGAATATTATATATATAATTTAAAAACCGACATTTCTGACCCAATTAATGACAATTTAATTTATTTAATTTTATTTATTTATTTGGTGTGAAGCTTGTCACTTACTGGAGGAAAAGATAATCGTAAATTCAAATTTAAGGGTACTGAGTAGTGCATCTGTGGCACTTGGTGAGTTCCCACATATGGTAGGAATTGGCTATAAATCCAATGATGAACATAAAACCTATGATATCCGCTGCGGTGGTACTTTAATAGATGCTAAGTTTGTTTTAACTGCCGCACATTGTATAACAGTATCTGGAAAGCCACCTCTAATAGTTCGCTTGGGTGTTATCAATAATACCGATGTTGACGAAATTAAAAATGGTTTAGAAATTCCAATAAAAGTAAGTGTTTTAATTAAAAAATTTTATTCTCCGAATAAGTTTTTATTTAAATATTTATTTTTTATATACATTTAGAAAATACACGTACATCCGGAATATGTATCGACTGCTGCTTATAACGACATTGGATTATTAGAATTGGAAAGTAGTGTGAAATTTAAATCTAATATTTTCCCTACATGTTTATACACCAGTATTGATGATCCACCTACAGATTCTGTACTATATGCCACTGGTTGGGGAATCGCCAGTACAACAAGTAAGTAAACAAATTGGTAATAGAAACATTTCTAAAAATACACCATTTTTTTTACAGCTCGTAGACCTTTAGACGTTTTACTAAAAGGTGTACAGGAACTTGTGCCGTTGGACGTTTGTAACAGTTTATATAAAGAAGCAGGCTTAACAAAACGTAAACCAAAGGGTATAATACAAACTCAAATATGTTCGGAAGCTAAGAAATCAGAAAAAAGTCCTTGTCTGGGCGATTCAGGCGGACCTATAAGTTTAGTTGTGGACCCTACTTGGAGAATATATCGTTTAATTGGTGTAATCTCAGCCGATTTCAGTTGCGGTTTTCCAATACCAGACATAAATACTCGTGTTGCGGCGTATTTAGATTTTATTGAGAATATAGTTTGGCCGCATTTAAAATAGATTTAATTTTAATTATTTAATTTGTATTATATTTTAATTTTTGTATTATATTTTATATTATTAATTTTTATACATTTATTTTATGTTATTTTTATATTAAATGTATATACAATATTTATATATTTTATAATATTATATTTATTTATATTTTATATAATATTTACAATTTTTGATTGAAATATTTTTATAATCTTAATCAACATGTTAAATTTTTGTTGAAGGTGTTATTTAATTTCTCCTTTAAATTGAATGATAATCATTAAATTATTAATACAAACTAGAATAGAAAAGAACACAATGTAGTAGAATAGAAATGATCAAAGTACTAGCTCTTCAACTAATCGGAACACTGCCACGATAGTAGATCTTTTTGTTTGCAATCGACCCTAATGGAACAAAAAAACACTCATTCCTATACGATTTCGTTATAACAGATGGTGACAGACACCTCAAGCCTAGCATTCTTCTCCTAGTCTTTTTTGCAATCCAAACAGTCACAAAAGAATTACTATATAACTTATCTGCTACCAAACAGAACTATTATGCTTTCCTTTCTGAGAAAATCATCTGCCTGATATACGCTCTACAGCCATTTGCCGAGTTCGACAAAGATGCACCGTTGGCCACACTCAAAAACGGACTACACAAGCAGATCCCTGCATGCTGCAACATCAACCACAGATAGTAATGCAGGCTATGGTAACCCACAGTCTTAACTCTGCTTTACTGAGAAGACAATAATTACAGAGCTATAACAATTAGCTCTTAAGCTTAGCAGTTTCTCAGAGTGTTGCGCCAATAGTAAGAAAAAATTAAATAAATTACTTGAGTAGTGCGTTTTTCTCAATTTAGGGAAATAATAACAATTAATGAAAGTGGGTCATAATATTTAGCTATCATATTAAAATATTTTATCAACAGATACTGCATTATTAAGTCAATTTTCATATATTGAAGTACAGTGGTTTTAAAGTCAACAGTCCAATAATTTTTAGTTATCAGAATTTAATTTAAAAATTAATCATTTTATTTCTGAGCGATCCTTTATATTTTTTTTTATATTTACGTACATACACACAATCAAATACAAGTTCAAAATGTTATCTTAATAATTGAACATTTAAAAAAAATTCCAGTATCTGGCTATATTATTTCCCAAATGAGTAGTCAAAAAAATTTAAGAAATAAAATGAAATCTTATTTCAACATTAAGTTTTTTGTAGACTAGTGTAATTAGTTCTTAACACAAATACACGTATGTGTGTGAAAGGTGCTGAAGATTCGGAAAAACCGGTGCTAATTTTTTCCTGATTAAACTTTTTTTTTTTAAATCGCTGATAAACAAAAGCATCTAGGCTTCGTATCTGAGACGTCTTCTCACAAAAATCAGTAGTTGAGCAGACGCTTTTGAGTTAACTTCGTTCGGTTCTTAAGTGCAGTTCTATAAAAAGTATAAAAATCATATTTAACACAAACAAGTTCCTATATACATACATACATATATTATTTACTCATCAATTAAACTGAAAATATTGGCAAGCTTCTTGTTAAAATATATTTTTTGGCATATTGTTAGTTAATTTTTTGAAAATATATTTCGATTATAAATACATAATTATAATTTTGTAATTTATAATTATAATAATTTTCGTTTGAATAATTTAGAAAATCAATTAGTAAAAAAATTATTTAATATTTTATTTATTTGTGTGAGGTATAACAACTCAGAAGAGAACTTGAAAAACTGTGCGTCTCACACACATAAAATTAAAGTAAATTGCGTAAAAGACTATATTATAATTAACTAACAAGGACTATCAATCACAAAAAGATACGATATTACGATATTATAAATACGATATTATTTACTTTATTTTCGTAATAAAGTACGAAAACTTAATTATCTTCGAATATTTTTCAGAAATGACAAGACCGCAAAATTTACTATTAATATTGAGCGCCGTATGTCTACTGAAGCATACTTGGACGGCCAGTGGTAAGTCCATTGTTAAAAGAGTTTGACTTTATTTAAAAGATCAACTAAATTCATAGCGAATTTAATACTATAACAAACGTTTCGAGTTAAGTAAATATCATATAAAATAGATGCTTACTTACAAAACTCTCATTCTTTCTGGAAATGTCTACATAATGTTTTGATATATACTACATAATAATACATATAATAAATATTTTCGGAATATTTACAATACTGTTTTAAATGTATGAAAATAATTAAATAAGTATGCTTAATTTATGAGGTATATATAAAAGTAAATATGTATTCAATGAAACAGGGCTTTAACAGTTATAATTCTACAGTAGCCGTAAACTCATTTAAATATTTCATTTCATTTTAAAGGAACTATATTTTTCTTTCATTTATTTTAGTCGGAGACACTTGCAAAATAGAGTCTACACCCGGTATTTGTAAAAGAGCATCTGACTGTCTTCAGCTGAACGAGTATATTAAACGTGGAAATATAGAACTAGAAGGTATTCAGTGTGACATTGCGACATCTGAAAATCTTATCTGCTGCCCAACTACATCATTTTCGAAAACATGGATTTTAAAACGGTAATAATATTTTAATTTATATTCTCATATACTTTCGATAATTAATAAATTAAAGAAATAAAATAATTAATTAAGTGAAGACTAAAATTCCATTAAATTTTCTTATTTTAGACTTCAGCCTGGTCTGGTCTGGTCAGTAACAGAAAAATCAATTAAGGAACGACCTGCTGAGAAAGGTATTTATTCTTAAACATTTTAATGTTGCAAGACTGCAATATTTTGTTATATGAGTATATTATAAACATGTATTTTATATACATGATATATGAATATGATATATGAGTTATATATGTTATTTAAAAAAGGATTAATTAATGACATATTATTTATTTAATTTTATTTATTAATTTGCATTTTCTTTCTTTGAAGCTTGTCATTTACTGGAGGATAAGATAGTTGCCAATCCAAATATAAGGGTACTCGGTGGTACATCTGTGGAACTTGGTGAGTTCCCATATATGGTAGGAATTGGCTATAAATCCAATGATGAACACAAAACCTATGATATTCGTTGCGGTGGTTCTTTAATTGATTCAAAGTTTGTTTTAACTGCCGCACATTGTATAACAGTATCTGGAAATCCACCTCTAATAGTTCGCTTGGGTGTCATCAATAATACCGATGTTGACGAAATTAAAAATGGTTTAGAAATTCCAATAAAAGTAAGTGTTTTAATTAAAATATTTTATTCTCCGAATAAGTTTTTATTTAAATATTTATTTTTTATATACATTTAGAAAATACACGTACATCCGGAATATATATCGACTGCTGTCTATAATGACATTGGATTGTTAGAATTGGAAAATAGTGTAAAATTCACATCTGACATTTACCCTACATGCTTATACACCAATGTTGAAAATCCACCTGCAGATTCCCTATTATATGCCACTGGTTGGGGAGTCGTCAGTACAACCAGTAAGTTAAAAAATTTATAATAAAAACACCACTAAATATATATAAATTTTTGAACAGCTCATAAGCCTTCAGACGTTTTACTAAAAGGTGTACAGGAACTTGTACCGTTAGACGTTTGTCATAATTCATATCAAGAAGCAGGCTTAACAAGACGAAATAGAAATGGTGTAATACAAACTCAAATGTGTACGAAAGCAAAAGAATCAGAAAAAAGCCCCTGTCAGGGCGATGCCGGTGGACCTATAAGTTTAGTTGTGGACCCTACTTGGAGAATATATCGTCAAATTGGTGTAATCTCAGTCGGTTATGGTTGCGGTTCTGCAATACCCGACATAAGTACTCGTATTGCTTCACATTTAGATTTTATTGAGAATATTGTTTGGCCGCATTTGAAATAAATTGAAATTTAATTATTTAATCTGTCTAATAAATTTGAATATTATATATAATGTATTGACTATGTACAATATTTAAATATAATATATAATTTTGTATTAATTAATTACTAATATCTTAATCAACATGGTGAGTTTTCGTTAAAGGTTTTGATTCATTTCTTTTTTAAATTTAACGTTAATTAATAAATTAATAATACAAACTAGAACAGAATAGAACACAATGTTATAGAATAAAAATTATCAGGTTACAAGCTCTTCAACGAATTATAACACTGAGGCCATGACCATGATTAATTTTTTTTACTTGCAACAGATCCAGAAAATAGGAAGAGAAACCCATCTGTAAAATTGGATTTCCTAACATCAGACGGTAACAGGCATTTCAGTTCTAGTATTGCTCTACTAGCATATTGCGAATCCGTACAGTCACAGAAAAGTTTTCATAGGTCTTATCTGCTACCAAGCAGAACTGTTATACTATTCTTTCAGACAAAATTATTTGTCTTAGACAAATCTATCGGCCGTATCTATGCCTCGAAGCCAGTTGTCGAATTCGACAAACAAATATCGTTCACCACACGCGAAAGGAACTACAAAAGCAACAACAGCGGGCTACAACAGCTACCATAGATGGTAACGTAGGCTATGGTCATCCCTCTAACAGCCTACAGTCAACTTTTTTTTTCGGAGAATGGTCCATTATCGTAGCACTAAAAACTAGCTTAGCGGTTTCTTGGAGTCTCGCGCCAATAGAGAGAAAGAAATTAAATATTTTCAATTTAGGGAAATAATAATAACTAATGCAAATGGCTCATAAGATTTGGTTCTCATATTAAAATATTCAACTATCACATAGTTATATATGTTATATATACAATTTAGCAAATAAAGTTGAAATACAGTGGTCCAATATTTTTTAATCATCAGAATTTAATTTAAAAATTAATAATCTTATTTCTGAGCGAGTCTTCATATTGCTTTTTATATATATAATTAAATAACATTTAAAAAAAAATTCAGTATCTGACTATATTATTTTGTGATTTTGAGTAGTCAAAAAAATTTAAGAAATGAAATGAAATAAGATTAAGTTTTTTGTAGACTAGTGTAATTAGTTCTTAACACAAATACACGTATGTGTGTGAAAGGTGCTGAAGATTCGGAAAAACCGGTGCTAATTTTTTTCCTAATTTAACATTTTTTTTTAATTCGCTGATTAACAAATGCATCTAGGATTAGTATCTGAGACGTCTTCTCACAAAAATCAGTAGTTGAACAGACGCCTTTTAGTTTACTTCTGGTTCATAGAATAGTTGTGCAGTTCTATATATAGTATAAAGTGCATATTTAATATGTACATCAAGCATCTATATATACATATATTATTTTACTTATCAATTAAACTGAAAATATTGATAAGCTTCTTGTTACAATATATTTTTTGCATATTGTTAGAATAATTTGTGAAAATGTATTTCAATTATAATTAAATGGTTTCGTTTGAATAATTTAGAAAATCAATTAGTAAAAAATTATTTAATTTTTTATTTATTTGTGTGAGATCCAACAACTCGGAAGAGAACTTGAAAAACTGTGCGTCTCACACACATAAAATTAAAATAAATTGAGTAAAGGAGTGTATCATAATTAACTAACAAGGACTATCAATCATAAAAAGATTCGATATTACGATATTATAAATACGATATTATTTACTTTATTTTCGTAATAAAGTACGAAAACTTAATTATCTTCGAATATTTTTCAGAAATGGCAAGACCGCAAAATATACTATTAATATTGAGCGCCGTATGTCTACTGAAGCATGCTTGGACGGCCAGTGGTAAGTCCATTGTTAAAAGAGTTTGACTTTATTTAAAAGATCGACTAAATTCATAGCGAATTTAATACTTTAACAAACTTTTCGAATTAAGTAAAGATCATATAAAATAGATGCTTACTTACAAAACTCTCTATGGATTATAAAGCGAAACATTATACCTATTTGTAAAGACAAATTTATTATTTTCGAAAGCTCATTCTTTCTGGAAATGTCTACAATTTTGATACATACTACATAATAATACATATAATAAATATTTTCGGTATATTTTACAATTAATTTATGAGGTATATATAAAAGTAAATATGTATTCAATGAAACAGGGCTTTAACAGTTGTAACCGTAAACTCATTTAAATATTTCATTTCTTTTTAAGGGAACTATATTTTTCTTTCATTTATTTTAGTCGGAGACACTTGCAAAATAGAGTCTACACCCGGTATTTGTAAAAGAGCATCTGACTGTCTTTAGTTAAACGAGTACATTAAACGTGGAGATATAGAACTAGAAGGCATTCAGTGCGGCGTTGCGACATTTGAAAATCTTATCTGCTGCCCAACTACATCATTTTCGAAAGCATGGATTTTAAAGAGGTATTAATATTTAAAAGAAATAAAATAATTAAGTTAAGATAAAAATTGTGTTAAAGTTTCTTATTTTAGACTTCAGCCTGGTCTGGTCTGGTCAGTAACAGAAAAATCAATTAAGGAACGACCTGCTGAGAAAGGTATTTATTCTTAAATATTTTAATGCACAAGACTACAATATTTTGTTATAATGTATATGAATATATTATATATATGTATATTATAATATACATGCACGTATGATATACAAATATGATATATGAGTTATATATTTAGAAAACGATTTTTCTGACCCAATAATTGACATATTATCTATTTATTTTTATTTATTAATTTGCATTTACTTTCGGTGAAGCTTGTCATTTACTGGAGGAAAAGATAATCGCAAATCCAAATATAAGGGTACTCGGTGGTGCATCTGTGGAACTTGGTGAGTTCCCATATATGGTAGGAATTGGCTATAAAGCAAATGATAAACAAAATACCTATGATATCCGTTGCGGTGGTACTTTAATAGATGCTAAGTTTGTTTTAACTACCGCTTATTGTATAACAGTATCTGAATTGCCACCTCTAATAGTTCGCTTGGGTGTTATCAACAATACTGATGTTGAAGAAATTAAAAATGGCTTAGAAATTCCAATAAAAGTAAATGTTTTAATTAGAACTTTTTAAATTTTCAAATGTTTTTATTAAATATTTCTTTTTTGTATGCATTTAGAAAATACACGTTCATCCAGAATATGTATCGACTGCTATTTATAATGACATTGGATTATTAGAATTGGAAAATAGTGTGGAATTCACATCTAACATTTTTCCTACGTGTTTATACACCAATGTTCAAGGTCCACCTGCAGATGCCATATTATATGCCACTGGTTGGGGAATTACCAGTAGAACAAGTAAGTAAACAAATTGATAATAGAAACACTATTAAAAATATATCATTTTGTAAGCAGCACGTACGCCTTCAGACGTTCTACTAAAAGGTGTACAGGAACTTGTGCCGTTGGACGTCTGCAATAGTATCATATCAAATTTAAAGGGTGTAAAACAAACTCAAATATGTACGAGAGCTAAGAAATCAGAAAAAACCCCCTGTAAGGGCGATGCCGGTGGACCTATAAGTTTAGTTGTGGACCCCACTTGGAGAATATATCGTCTAGTTGGTGTAATCTCAGTCGGTTATATTTGCGGTTTTTCAATACCAGACATAAATACTCGTGTTGCTTCATATTTAGATTTTATTGAGAATATCGTTTGGCCGCATTTGAAATAAATTTAATTTAAGTTATAAAAATTTTAATAAAATTAAATTTATCTAAGAAATTTTTATACAATGCATTACGATTTTTATATAATGCTTGAAAACATGTTTTAAACTACATTAAATTAAATTTGATTAAAATATTAAATTAATTAAATTAAATTAAATTCAAAACATTGTAAATTTTTATTAAGAGTTGTGTTTGATTTCTCTTTTAAAATGAATGATAACTAATAATTTATTATTATAAATCGCAAGAGAAAAATATTAAATAAATTAATCGTATTTTTCGGTTATATCTAAAATATTTGGCACACGTTTTCTTTATAGGGAAATGACGAGAATTAATTTGTGTGGTTCGTACTATCATATTGTCTATATCTTATCGGCAGATAATGCTTCACTAAATCCAGATATTTGTGCTTATTAATGCCTATCATAAATCTTACTGTTTTTAACGCTACATTTGGGAAATTTTAAGAATTTAATCACTGAGATAAAGGGCTTAACAGAAATTAATACTTAAAGTATAAAAACAAAATTTATTATTTATTTTGAATAGATTTTTTTAATGATATGTGTATTAAAATAATTTAGAAAAATATACAAATTTAATAATATATTTTCAATCAAATTAAATCTCTGCATAACAAAAAAAAAATAACTTGTCAAGTAAGACCTTTGCTATTTAAAAAGAATTCAAGTTGATTTCATTCCCCTACCTACTCAACTGAATACTTGTTTTGGTTAAAATGGATTATAACCGTAGTAATAAATCAGGATTTAGTGATAGGAAAATTATCCTGCGACTGATTAGCAATGTTTGCTAAAAACATCCTGAGGTTAAAAAAATTAAATCCTGAAAGAATGTATTACACTAAGACGAAGTGCAAACCTAGTCGCCTAAACTAGCATCGAGCTGGTTGTAGTAATGTAGTTCCGATAGGACAAGGTCTCTGCAATGAGAGAGTGGGGTTTAGTCCTTGCGAGTTGGGCATTTACTTTCCGGAGTGCTGGATCGTGGACGGTGCATAGGCATTCCCTTCTGCTAGCCACACAAAAAAAAAAAGACTAGTTATTATTAAGTGGGGAATACTATACACTGCGACTCAAGAGAACTTTGTACCTACTGAGAGTAGCAGGTGATTAAATCTTTAATGAGCATAAGCACTTTAAACGATTTTGTTTTATATTTTAATGGGTAAGTATACCCATTAAAATGGGTAAGTCTAATTCTGCTCAGTTTTAAGCATTCACAGATGATGTGTTCAGACATTTGAACAATCTGTTTGAACAAAAGATACAAATAATGGTCCCTCAAACAAAAATTTTGTTGAAAATCTTGGTCTGTACGGTCAGAAACTCGTTAAGAATTTAAATATCGTCTCTAACCTGTGCAAGAAGGCATTTTAAGACTAGCTTAGGTGGATTCATGTATCTATCAAACTACCTTTGGTTTCTCAGGCTTTACTATTTAGTCCAGTTTTTTTTAAATTACGACTGACGGGCAAAGTCATATCATTGATTATTTTTCAATTATATTATTTAACATCGTAGACCATCTGCAGTGAATGTTCTTTATAAATATATATTACTTAACTTTATATAAGTGTAACATGTATTTTAATTATTAAAAATAACTAACTTTGTAATTAAATGAAAAGTACTCTTATTTTTCTAATATGTGTCCTCTCTCCAGAGTATAGAACAGCTCAGGTTTAGTTGATTGGTATACTCCTCGTTCGATAAAGCTGTCCGCGGTTTCGTTTACTTAATACTTCGGCTATGAAATAATGTAAAGTCGTAGTCAATGATCCTAGATTGATCTGTAAAGTACGTGACAATATCATATTTATTTAAAGCCCCATAGATGTTAAAATGCACTTTACTTGCCTCACACTTGTGACAAAAATTATGCAAAAGAGTATTTAACTTGTTATAGTTATAAAACAATATGTTTTAAAAAACTTTATTTTATTTCTATAAAATAAAAGAAAATCACTATATTTTATTCTAAACTTTATTTATTCTAGCTAACATAAAGCTCTTCAAATATTTGTATGAAGGAAGTACCGGTAAGTACTGAAGTGTTATATGGAAAAAGATGTCATAAAAGTGTGCCAACCGAGATACTTCGCTTAGCATATGTAATTTTCTAAATAATAATGCTTATAACTAAATTACATTTAATTACAAGTTTGGAAATCTTAAAATTACAAATATTTTCTACGAACAGATATTTGATTTAATTTCCTAACATAAACAAGTCAAGTTAAAACTTAATCAAGCAATTATCTCATGACTAATATTGACTATAGAATGGATATAAACTGCAAAAAAGTGAAACAATATTATTAACAATACTATTGTTGAGTAAACTCAACAGCCCATTTGCGAAAAAAACAGATCTAAGGTTCAATGAATGAGAGGGGGAAAATCCATAAAAAACAATTGTGGATTTAACGAAACCGGCATGCGCGATTGCTGCCACTGGCACAAGACAGAATGTATCTTATCTTACGCTCTTGCGACTATCTTGCACTGACTTGTCAAAAAATAAAATACAAAAATACCTGCGTATTATTAAGATTTTTGTAGCTAGTAATTCCACTTAAAATTCTTATGCATGAAGCAAAAAAAACTAACCACAGTACATGAGTAAGGTACAGTGGAGCAATCGTATCTTGATTGCACTGAGATTATAATGAATTGAAAATATAAATCCTTAACAACATTTTTAAAAAACTGATTAAGAATAATTAAGTTTTAACTAATTAAAACTGTCCGTGTTACAATTTGAGTATATATTTTATAGTTTTATGTTTCAATGGAATACAATTTAAAGAATACGACTTCGAGTTCTTGTATTAAGTAGTTCCATCTTAATATAATATGTTAGATATCAAAATTCGATAGCAAAATTGTAGGCCATCCATCTGAGTTATCTAACAACTAAAATCCTGAAACCCACATAAACCATCTATATTTTGAGAATACTGAAAACTAATTTTCATATATGTATACTAGATCATCAATACGAGAGATTGCGACGTTATGCTCCATTAGATATATAAAATAAAAAAAGATTTGGTCATCAATTTTGGCAGTCAATCAATCTCAATATTCGCGTAATTAATACACTTTGCTTCTAAAGATATATGCATTATTAAAACTGATAATATAATTTTGTTAAAAAATTCTTTAACCCTTTTGCGACTTAGTTTTATTTCCGCTTTTAAACTATAAAAAATTATTATAATGATTAATATATTATAAATAATCTAATCTATATTATAGATTATATAGTAAATATATATAATAAATATATATAATAAACATAGTTTAACATAAATAGTAAAAATATGTAATAGATGTTTTTAAAATTGTTTCAGTGCTTTACCATTACTGTATAGGACTGATTTGGTGCTCATCAATTAACACTTGATAGCCTGAGTTTAGTTTAAGGAGTACTTTTATGAACTTTTGAAACAAGATTTTTTAAATAAATCAAATGCAATTACTTTTTCAGAAAATCTCTTTCTAAGGGTATTTGAAATTACCAAATCATTAGTTTTATTGGTAACGTAAATCTATGTGCTCATTAAACACGTATAATTATTGCTTCTCTTACATATTAGAACTCTTGACCCCGAAATATTATTAATCGTTTGGATTGAAAAATCATATGAATATAAAATATATTTATACATCGTCTGAATCTATGTATACATCATTAGTAACACTAGACCTCATGTTAACGAGCCCAGTTGCGATTTTATCACATATAATTCATTCACCTCCTCTACACAAGATGTTTTGATCTCGGATCATTGTTCATTGTATTATTAATTCATAATTAAAACAATAAAAGGAAGTATAAAATATATTCAGATTACAGTGTTATTAAAGAAGAAAAAAAAGAAGGTTGCAAAATAGTGTAAAATCAACATTACCATATTAATCAATATTTATTCTATACGCAACTCTACAACAGAAATTGTTAGGAAACTGTACAATATGTGTGACCAGAGTTGCCAAGTTTTTTTTTAATAAAGTAAAAGTATGTAATGTAAACAAAAGGATTACATTTGTTAAAAAAAATAATTAATTACTATATTAATGATGTGCCCGACATTCTAAATATCTATACGAACTCTAGAAATATGACTTCTAAAGGGCGCTCATGTTTGTGGATAAAATATGCATGATTTATGAATGAATCATATCCATATCAAATGGAATTTTGTTCACAGATTTATGTACAGTATTTTACCACAAAATAAATTTCTTTATAAATAATTTAAATGTTTAGAATATTTTTTTGCATAATTTATTATAATAATTAATACCTCTTGAATGACGTGTGCGTTAGATTTTAATCGCCAATAATTATCAAGTTACCGAATTGTCCTCATACTGTTATAAAGTTTGCTCTTCTATTACTCATTTGATTAAGGCTTATATTAAAAAGAAAACAATATATGTATGTATAACTACAAATACATATATAATGTTTTTATATATTAATCGATTTTTTTTATAAAACATTTCTTTGTCAAAATAAAAACGCAAGTATATTGGCGAAAATTTCATCTCTTCGAGATCAGTAGCTGAAGAAGCGAGTTTGAGTTTGTTTCGTTCGGCTCCTCAATTTAATTTTTTACAAATTATTTATTTAAGTAAATATTTATATAAATGTGCACACATCTCTTTTTATTTTTTGCCCAAAATATTAAACAATGATAAAATTATTAATACGAATAAAAATCTTGTTTTGACATGAATTGCGCTGAACCACGAGATTCTGAAGTGTTAAAATAAACAAAATACAAAAAATAATTGAAATTTTATTTTGACTAAATTAAATTGAATTTTCGAAAAATTAATAATTTAATTTAAACACCTTAAAAAAATTATATCAATATTAATTTCACTAATATATATAAAATAATAATTTATATGAAAAGTTATATTAAGAATAATTAAGTGTAAAAAATTAAAAAATCTTACAAATTGAATATTTAATTTTTTTTAAAACAATAGTGAAATATTTTTAAGAGCAAAACATTTTCTATATAACATTAATTTTTTAATATAGTATTATAAGATTTTCAATTTTGAATAAATTCGAAAAAATTTCGAAATTTATTGTTATCTAATTACGAAATTAATAAACAACGCTATATTTTGACTACTAAGACTAATTTACTACTAATACAGTGTTTTAATCAGTGATTTAAAAAATATATCTGCAAATTTCACATATTACGTACTATTAAATTCAGTGATTTCGACAAATTATAAACAGTGTTTTCGAAAATGTTGACAATCTTCGAAAAATGCCGATCGATTCATTGTCAAATACAGTTTTTATTCTTACTAATATGTATATCCGCGCTTTTAAAGCCAGCATGGACACGTCTAAGTGGTAACTATAGATACTTTTTTTAAAAAAGAAATTATTTTTTTCTTATAAAATATAATAAATCATTTTAACATTTTAATAAAAATAATATATTTCGAATTATAATGAATTTTGAAAAATTTGTAATTACATTAATTCAGCACCATAAAAATAAATATATACAAATAAAAATTATTTTTATTTAATCTTTTTAATCCGACATTTGATAGATATTTGCAAGCATCTTTATGGTTATCTATTATTTCCGGTATTTTATATTTGATTTCTGATACCCCTAAACATCTCGACAGGTAACAACGAAATATCGGATTAAAAAAATTAAATAAATATAATTTTAATTTGTACTTTAAAAGCAGACCAGAATAGTCTAAGATATAGATATAATAGAGATTTAATTATTTGTCGTCACTGATCAAAACTGGTCAAACTTTTTTTTACAAAGAAATGCAAAATTTTGTTTACATTTTATTTTAAAAACGAATATAATTTTATCAATAATAAACACAAAATAAAATAACATATTTTTATAAATTTGTTTTTGTAAATTTAAAAATTAATTCAAGACTCATCAAGTTCGGTCAAGTTCAAGTTAAACGTACGAACGTTTTTCCTAATCGATATCAGAAGAAACAATACATTATTAAACAGTAAACTCTCGATAACTATATTTCATAATTATTGCATGCATGTGAAGTGTGAACATTTAACTAATTTAATTTAATAAATTTAATTCATCTATAAATTTTAATTTTAATTCGTGTATATTTTACAAATATTTTTATATATACTATTTGGTAAAGAGGATTCGAAAAATAATAAACTACAACAACAAAAAATTCTTTTATATTTTAATTAATTAATTTAATTATATTTGTCATTGTATAAATTTTTATCAAAAAACAATATTGCATACTATAATGAGTAGAGAGCATTATTATTCTCTATTATTGCCTTTTTATATTATTTAATTTATTTAACCTTTTGATTTTTATAATAAATTATATTATATTAATACATTAAAAGTATTATTATATCAATAATAAAATTTTTATATTTTTATTATATAATTATCTTATTTATTATTATATATATATATTATATTATATTATTAAATTTATTTAACCATCTGATTTATAATTATTATACTAATTAATATGATATTAAAATATTAAAAATATTATTATATTAATAATAAAATTATATTATTATATTAATCTTGTAATAAAATTATTATATTAGTAATATTATTTTATTAATAATAATTATTATATTATTGTGTTAATAATGTTATTATATTAATAATTACTATTATTGCTTAGCAAATATAAACTTTTACAATTAGTTTATTACAACTATAGTTTTTTCATGAAATATTATTGTTTTTACTAACATTTATTTTTTGTATACCTTAATTATATATAATTAATGCATTTGTGATCATATTGCTTTTATATTTTTTATTTTATTATTTTTCATTATTATTTATATATTTATTTTAGATTCATTAATTTAAATATTAAATTTATAAATATATTGTTAATAATTTTTAATTTTTTATCATTATCATAATCATCATAATCATATATATAAAGCATATATTTATTGTAATTATATATATATATATGCAACACCACTAAACCGTATCAGTATAATTATAATTTTAACTCTATGTGATATAATTAGTATTATTTATTTTTTGTTTTTGTTTTTTTAATTTTATTAATTTTAATATATTGAATATCATATCCCCACACATTTGCTAAGAGCTACCAATTTTACTCACTATTCTATCTACTAATACTCAAGACCAAACCAATAATTATATATTCAATATAAATATTTTTTTTAATTTTATTACCTCTTTTAATTATTTTTAAAATGAAAATCAGCGGGAGCTGCATGTTCAATGCAATCCATAACCGGTGTTTGTAGAAAAGTTTCCGATTGTGAAGAGATATATGATTATATATATCGTGGAGATATAGAGCCACACCAGGTGTTAAGATGTGGTTACTCAAGAAATGAAGAGATCATTTGCTGTCCAAGTCCATCAAGAACGGGTGTAATTACTACGTAATTATTTAAATTTTATATATTTTTACATATATAACTTATATTTTTACTTTCTTGCAGACCAAATCCACCTCCACTGTCCGTTCCGGTCGTGGAGCGAGCAGCTGTGAAAGGTAGATATATAGTTATTTGGATTCAAATGCTAAGCCATAAAAGCCTTAAAATCTTTGTAATTAATCTCTGATTCTCATTAATCTTGAAATAATTATGAATTCCTAAAAAATATTTTTCATTGTACAAAAAATAGAGTAAATAAAAGACTATTATAATGCTAATAGATAACGAAAGCATAATTAATAATTAAAATGAAATTAATTAATTATTTTTTCATATGAAGCGTGCCGCATGATAGAGCAAACTGTAAATCCGTATCCAAATGTACGTGTACTTGGTGGCACATCAGTACAACTTGGAGAATTTCCATATGTGGTGGGAATAGGTTATAGCCGTATAGGCAGTAACACAGGACCCTACGATATCCGTTGTGGAGCCACATTGATTGATGCTAGATTTGTGCTAACCGCTGCACATTGTGTAAATGGAGTAAGAAATCCTCCTTCAATAGTCCGCTTGGGTGTAATCAATAACAAAGACGACAAGCAAATCGAAAGTGGTTTAGAAATTCGAATTAAAGTGAGTATTTTATATATAATATATTATTAAAAATTATTGTACTCATTTCTACTTCTTCTCTAATTTTAGAAAATTCATATACATCCAGATTATACCAGTACCTCAATATATAACGATATTGCCTTACTAGAGTTAGAAAATAGTATTCAGTTCTCATATAGAATTTATCCTATTTGCTTATATACCGAAACTGAAGATCCAACGGATGATTCCGTTCTATATGTCATCGGTTGGGGTATTACTGATCTATCAAGTAAGTTAATATTATATCAACTTTTTAACAATTGATTCTAAATTATTAATTAATATTATAACTCAATTAGCACGTGCCAGTTCAGATGTATTAATGAAAGCTGCTCTAAGAATTGTGCCATTGGATGCTTGTAATAATTCCATTTATAGAGAAGGTATCACAAGCCGAAATCCAAACGGTGTAATACAGACTCAAGTGTGTGCAGTAGATCCGGAAATAAAGACAAGTTCCTGTCGGGGTGATTCAGGTGGACCTCTAAGCATAGTTTTAGATCCCACTTGGAGAGTGTTTCGAGTACTTGGTATAATCTCAGCTGGCTATAGCTGTGGTACGAATATACCGAGTCTATATACTCGCGTTGCTGCATATTTAGACTTTATAGAAGATATAGTTTGGCCACATTTAAAATAAATTTTTTTTGTAATATAAAATAATATATAAATGACTGTATGAAAAGTTTTAAAATAAGAATGATAGAATTTAATTAAAAAATAAAACATAATAAATATCCAAAAGTAAAGGAACTTTTAATTTTATGAAGGTAAATTATATTGAAAACTTGAGAATATAACTTGAGAAAAAATCATCATATTTATAAGATGATATAATAATCATATACTATATATAAGAACACAAAATTGTGGCTTTAATACGTATTTCTTACCTATCTATAGCAAAATTTTGTCATAGAAAAAAGTCTTGTTTCTTTTTAATTACACCTAAATCTCTCTTTAGTTAACTTTTGATCGGCCGATTAAATTACCGATTAACTGTCGATTAAATTGTCGATAACTGATTTCTCTTCAAACCATATAAATTAACTCAGATTTCATCTTCAGTTTAGCTCTTAAATAAATCTAAGGTAATGTCCTACAACGATTTGCTTCGATTGCGAGTAAAGCGTCCCCACATTGATAGTCCCATCATAACAAAATGTTTGTATAATATACATTCCATGATCTTTTACTATATGCCCGTAGTGAACTTTATGAGTTATGAATTTTTTAACGTATTCTGGAGTAACAATTTTATATATGTAACTATAGTCTTCGATGTTTGGGTGGTTGTAGACACTTAAATGATAAGCATCAAAAATAATAAATAATTTTTTTTGGGGTAATGCAAAACCCCCTTTAAATTTATCAAGCTATTCGTTTTCTTCAACTAAATTTCTGCTAATTTTTAACATATGTCCTAATACGGTTAGTATTTTAAAAATTCAAAGTAGTTTTTACTTATATATTGCTATATAAAGCTATATATAGCCATTCTTTTAGAAAAAGCTATTCTGTTTCTTCAACTATATACATATCTGTTACTTTTTGACGTATATGTTAATACGATTAGCTTTTTCGAATTGCAAAATCTAATTTTTTAAAAGACCGAGCGGCAAAACTTAACATATAGTTCAAGTAGCGCATGGCGCCATCTTGTTTACATATACCCGAGTATGGCATTCTTAATTATTAAATTACTTTACGCGACTAGAAAGGAGTTTTTCTGTGATTCTAAGTTTTAAAACCAACCTGTCTGATTGATAAAGGGGTTTACATTAAGAAAATTTATATTTAAAATGTCTTCTAGTCTCAATAATTTGTAGTTTTCCATTGTGGGGATCATCTCAGTCTCTCCTCTAGCAAAGAAAGTGTTTATATTCATATTTTTTGCAATTTTTGCATTTCTCATTAAACCCAATAACTACATGTATTCCTGCTGATCAATCGCTTATCAGCATTGCCACCATTTTTTCTGTTTTAGTTCTAGACCTCAGCCTAAGCGTATTAACTGATAAAGTGTAAACTATTTCCAGTGTTATTTATAGTAAAACTATAAATTTTTTTTGGAAAAAATAATTATTTTGGGAAATTTCACTTAATCATATAAAATTATGGAAATAATTTTTGAACTTTGCAAAGACCTGAAACAGCATTGAGAATTAATTATATCCAAGTTTTTGGTAATTCCAAACACAAGTATTCATATGGCACATACCCGTATAATCATTAAATGTATAAACTTATTTATAAAAAATATGTATGCATTTTTTGTGTAGTATCATTAAATAATATTAAATTGATTAAAAATTTATTTATTTTTATTATATATGTTCTTGTGCTGGTTTTAATTATTAGTTCATTTCGTAATATTATTGTTTATATTTTATTTTTATATTTTTCTTGTTTTTTTTCTTCTGTTTTATTTTTTTTTTTTCTGTTTTTTACTGGAACAAACGATCAATTCGCTAAAGTTCGCAATCTCGTTGTTTACATCTCTAAATTCAACATATAAAATACTGTACATATATGTATATAATTATTATATATATATATAAATATATATACCCACATTAGTATTTATATTCGAATCTCCGTTGATATAAACAATACAATAAACTTAAGTTAAGCGGTTGAGATAGATTCTCACTGAGATCAGTAGAAGGAGAAGCGAGTTTGAGTGCAGTTCGTTCAGTTCCTGTTTTTTAATTTTATACAAAACTGTGTTTCGAAATAAAATTGAATAAAATCAAACTACATATTTATTTAAATAAATTGTTTAAATGTTAACGATAAAAAGAAACATCAATGATATTAATAATTCAGAAGTGTGTTAAAAATTAAACTTCGACATTTTAAAGCCTTTTGTTTGTTTAAAACATTAAACAAAAAAAATATTTGATTGATATATATAAAATTTATAGTATTTAAATTAAAATAATAACAAATTAATCACAATACTTTGCATACGAATTTGTTAAATTGTTTGAAAGACAAATGACTTGATTTAGTTACTAAGTCAATACGAGCTTAAGATACAAATAAATAAAGTAATAATATATATTCAAAACTTCATTGAAGATATGAAAAAATTGTAATAAAACAATTAACGGATTTAAAAATTTATACAAATATATATATACATGTATATAGATACATATTTTTTTAGTATATATATATATGTTTTTCTGTGATAATCTTGGCGTTGTTTACAGATACTGTTGTGTTGTAGTAGATATGCGTACTAAGCTAAAACAAGCGTTTAATCTTTAATATGAAACTCATTTCGAGGTACAATAAATTGCTTAATAAAAATCAACAAGTAAACAATACCGAATTCAAAGCTAAATATATTTAGATACATATACCTATAGATACATATTATATACATGCAAAAAAACAATTTGACTCAAATATATAATTAGCATTTCTCTATTGTGTTTGTTATATTGTCTAAACAACTTTGTGCAAAATTTTATAAAAACTTTTAACAAATTAAAATAACATTTTATTGATTCTCGGGCAATAAAAGAATAAAGCCGCTAATTTTGCTCAATAACATTCAATCAAATATAATTTTATATCAATTAAAATTGACTGAATTTTAAATTGAAATCATAAATTGCATTTAAAACTAAGAAGAAGAAAAAGAAGTGAATAGAAAAATATTATGGACACGAAAATTTTATAATAATTTTTAATATTTTTTTTTTGTAATCAAAACTAACAAGTGAAGTATAAAAACCGAATACTCATAATTAAGTTTCATAATTTTGCTCAGTGTAAAGTTGAAATTGTGTTCGAAAATGTTGTTAACCTTCGAAAAGTACTGTTGCATTCGATATCAACTGCAGTTTATGCTGTTATTGGCATATGCTGCATATCTGCTGAAGCCAACTTGGGCTGCACTATGTGGTAAGAGACTTGTTTCAATAATACAAATATTTATAAAATAATTTAAACTTAATTACTTAATTAGGTAGTCTACAAAATTTTCGAATTTGATTTTATTTATATTAATATAAAAATTATTAATTTATATATATTATATATTATTACTTCAATTTATGTTTTAAATAAATGTTTGCATACAATTTGAACCAGTTTTTGTAGTTTAAATTGTAAGTTAATATTTTTACACAAAATCGAGAGACATATACGTTTCTTCATCTGCTGAATATAAGATACTGTAACTAAATAAATATATCAACGAAATTATTTTTAAAATTATTTTTCAATATGTTTTCAAAAAAAAATCCTACAAGTTTTTGAAGTTCAAGTTCAATGCTAATAGCGAGAGAGATAAATAAATATACATTTATACAACCATTGAAAAAAAAACAATAAAACAATTAATATATAAATAAAATTATTATTATAATTTTTATTTTTAATTTATATTCACTCATCAAAATCAGAACATATAAATCCATTGAACGTAAGATACTAAAACTACACTAATAGTATATCGATCTAATAATTATTATGACTATTTTGATTATTATTTTGATGTTGTTATTACATAAATTGATTAATTTCATGAAGCTCAAATTTATTAAAAATGTCTAATTGTCAAAATCGAGAAAGATAAATAGACACATATACATCCATTGAACATAAGATACTCAAACTACATTAATAGGTATATCGATATGATTATTTTGATTATTATTTTGATGTTATTGATTAATTTTATAAAGTTCTAGTTGATTAATTATATTTAATTATCAAAATCGCGAAAGATAATAGACATATATGCAGCCATTGAACATAAGATACTTAAATTATACTAATATATCGATCTAATTTTTATTATGATTATTTTGAGTATTATTTTGATGTTGTTATTAAATAAATTGATTAAATTGTCTTTTTTTTAAAAGACATAATATGTTTTTAATGACTAAATTTATTTATGTATAAAGATAATTTTATATAAAAAGGATCATATTACAAATAAATAATTATTTGTTTAAAAATTATTATAAATTATTATTATATAACAATATATAATTAAAATTTTAAGAATATTAATAAAATATTTTTAAATATAATATGTTTACTACTTTTTTTAATTATAATACATTTAACTAAAAAAATCAATTTTTACTATATATTATTATCATTAAAATTTTATTAGATATATAATTAAAATTCTATATAGTTTTTAATATAAACTAAAATATTAAAATATTTATAATGAATATATATAATATTTACTATATATTACTATAAATTCACTATATAATTTTTATATTAAATTAGAATAATATTATATTAGATTACAATAATTTTAATATTATATTTATTTTTTTAAGTGCTTGGAAATGGATATGGGAATACCACCTGCGCGAGATATGGTAAATATACTGCTCTATATAAAATTTATGACAAATATATTCTGAGATTGTATTATCTTTTAATATGAATTACATATATTAACATTTGAATATTTAATAGCTTTACAGTTGCAAATAACCAAAATATGTTGTATAGTAAACAGGATTTTTTAAAAGGAAGGTCTTAAAATGAGACCATATTTTGACCATTGCAAGCGTTGGTAAAATCAATTCCCTCTATTTACTGGATAACGCATTGAACAACTTTCACCTACTCAGAAAAATGTATATGCTATTCGGAACCGGCAATAAAAACCACTTATTTGTATTTTAAATAAAATTATTCGTCATAAAATAAGTTTTATCTTTGTATTATATTAATTTAGAAGAAGTCCTGTTTACTTTGGTTTGCGTCCCAGTATTACATATATCATTAATATAAACTTAAAGATTTTGTTAAAGTTTGCAAATATTAATTCAAAAAAAAATTTTTTTTCAATTACAGTGGGTGATCCTTGTAGGGTAAAATCATTATCTGGAATATGTCAATTGGTATCCAATTGTCCTGATATTATTAACTATATAACTCGCGGAGATTTAACAGAAGACGAAGTTTTCAGATGCGGCTTCGGAAAAGTTGAAGAAATAATATGCTGTCCAAATAGTATAGAAAAAGAGGATCAAACTAGACCAGTAAATGGTACTGACCTCTTTAAAAGGTAAATTTTATATGAACCGTTGATCAAAATCTCATATATATATAAATAACATTTTAACTGTAAGTCATTTAAAATACATATACAAAAAATTAAATTTGATCGCACAAAAGTTTTTGAATCGTATTGTCCTTCTAAATAACAAGTTATTTTTTTTCTAGTCTTGATGAAGACAATACAACAACAATAAAGCTCAATGATACACAAAACTCAGATATGGATCGTGCAGGAACCGTACAACAACCCAATGGCGAACGACCAGCTGTTATAGGTAAGTTTATAGATAACTTTTAAAAACTTTTAATATAAATTTAATTCAAAAGTGGGTAGAGTTCGTTTTTTAACATAATCGAAATACTTTTATTCTGTCAATACATTTTAACTGAAACCTTTCCCTATAGCCTGTCGTATCATAGAAGCGTTGCCGAGACCCCGTCCACGTCCACATGTTCTTGGCGGTGTACCAGCATTGCATGCGGAATATCCTCACGTTGTAGCTATTGGTTATAGTCTTATTGGTACCGACCAGGGACCTTACGATTTTCGTTGTGGTGGTACATTAATTGATGCCAGATTTGTTTTAACCGCTGCACATTGTGTGAATAGCCCTAGCAGCCAGCCCTCAGTAGTTCGAATGGGTATTGTCAATTATGCTAATGAGACGGAACTCACAACGTATGGTGCAGAAATACGGATTCAAGTAAGTTTTTTATTTTTTTATATTACTTTAGGTTTTGTTCAAATAATAAATTAAGCGTTTCGTGTTTTCATTTTAGAAAGTTCATATTCCCGATGATTATCTATCCTTTAGTACATACAATGATATAGCTTTATTAGAATTAACTACTAGTGTTACATTCTCAACCACCATAACTCCAACTTGCTTATACACTGATGTTGCGGATCCACCACAAAACTCTTTACTGTATGTCACTGGTTGGGGCGTAACAAATACTACTAGTAGGTTATCATAAAATTAATAAATGTTAATATTTTATAAAATTAATGTACATTCCCTTTTTCCTTCTTCGAAATAGCACGAAGCATTTCAAATATATTACTTAAAGCACAACTGCAAATTTCTCCAATAAACATTTGTAATGCTACATATGTGGAAGAAGGCCTCACTCGTCGTAATGAGAGAGGTGTACAAAATACTCAAATGTGTACTACAGATCCCGGTGAAGTCATAGACGCTTGCCAAGGTGATTCTGGAGGACCACTTAATCTTGTAATTGATCCAACTGCGAGAATTTATCGTGTAATTGGCATAATTTCAGCTGGTTTCAGTTGTGGTACTACAATACCAAGTCTATATACTCGAGTTGCCTCATATTTAGATTATATAGAGGGAATTGTTTGGCCAAATTTGAAATAAGCTTAAATTTTTTAAGTGATATTTAAAAATAGATAACGGTTTCGTGTGATATTAAAACTTAATATTTTTGAAATTAAGTTTTTACCGATTAAAAACAGAATAAGTACTTTGGATTTAGTAATGCTATTAAGTATTCATATGTACTCATATGTCGTATTATCAAATTTTGTTAAAATAATATTTATATACTTAGTAGGTATACAAATATTTCGGTATATAAAATAGATTGTTTATACATTCATGTGCCATCTTTTCCTAAAAGCTTACTAAATAATGATTATAAAATTAAACAATTAATCGTAGACTTGATTATATAGTTCATGAAATTTTAATTATTTTTCCTTAATTTTAAAAAAATTAATTAATATGTTTAAGTATTAATATATTTCTTGAAATAATCAAGCAAATCTATTAAAAATTTCTTAGAATTAAAGCTAAAAATTTATATAAATGACTAGTTAATTTAAGAAATACAAAATATTAATTTGTTAGAATATTAAACATACCTCCATTTAATTATTAATAGTAATTAATAATTTTATTATTAATAGTTATTAATAAAAATTTTTTTTTATATAATAAAATTAAATTTGCTTATAAAAATAATGAAATAAATGTAGTAGATTTAAACCACATAGTTTTTTATTGCGTGAGATATGAAGAGAGCTACTAATTTCTATATATTTACTACAACATATAATTCCGAAAATTATTTCATTTTATTAAGTACTAGACAATGGAAAAGTTAGGACTCATTCCAAATCGTAAGCTTTAACGATCATAATATTGAAACTTAGTACTTTGAATAAAGAAGCATTAAAATTAAATAAGGCTTAGCCAAAAGTTAATTGGAATTTTAATTCGTACTATGGCCGTACTACGTTTATGCTACGAATTGCCCAAGCCAAGCAGAAGTTATATACCATTTTGAATGAGGGTTTAAATATACCTTATAGTATATAGTAAAGCATATTATTGATAATAATAACGTCGGATGTTAGAAACATCAGACGAGAACATTTGATGTTATCACAGTATCCTCTACCTGACTTATAAA